ATCAATTTGCTTATATTATAGGCAAAGGTAGTTTTATCTATAATAAAAATGAAATCATGAAACACGTAAACTTGGTAATCGAGTGCAATTCACTGGATACGGCACATATATGCACTTTTCTATATTAATGACTTATTATCCATAAGAATTAGAGGACAAAGAACAATTTATTCCATTAAAACAGAAATAAATATAGGAAGTACAGTAATTAGCAAAATGATCCTCTAATTGTTTCGATTCTTAAATGTACACCGTTGCAAATTTGCAACATTCTATATTATTAATTCTAAATCTATGACTGTGCATTTGAAGGTTAAGTAGTACACGTTGCTATACAAAATATAGATATCATATCTAGCTGGTGTTAGCAATTGTTTCTGACAAATTTCTTTTTTACAGATGACATCACTAAAAACAGTACGTTTGAAACATTTTTCTGTGCAAAATTTCTAAATTTTATTTCAGTTATATATATATAATCTGTATCCTTTGAACGAATTCTAAAGAAAGTTGTTGAATTATAAAAATTGTGCGAAAATTTATTTAATACATTTAAGAGCATTATACATTTTATCTTTTTGCATAAAATTAATATTTATTATTTTAAGATAATGTCAGGCATAAATAAAAACTTACAAGAGTAGTAGACGAGCTACGTTCGCTAATTGATTGTGTATAGGTATTTGCCTTTGAACCCAAATTACGCTGAAATACTCCATCGTAAGTCAATTCAGGATTATCCTTTTCGTAACCGGAATTTTGAGGTTTTAAAATACGTCTAGCGGAATTTCGTCTTGTTTCCGCAAATGCGATCCCTCTGAGCAACATTTGTTTCAAAGCAATTGCAAACTATCACCTCCAAGAATACTTCTGTCGACACATACACCTGACTCTCAACATAAAGACGAATGTTCGTTTTTTCCCCGATATACTTATTTTTATATTACGACAAGATCTTTTCAAGAATGAATAATGATAATAATTATGATAAAAAATTAAGAATACAAAATATTTTTGAAACAGTTTTATTACTGCTATATCTTTATTTAAATATAATTATTCGAAATGAGTTAATCAAATATAGACAATATATATAAATATATTACGAATACGAATAAAGTTTTTCTTGTTAAATTAAATTTATAGTTATAGATTTAAAAATTGTCTCTTTCGTAATTATTAAATTTTTTTTGAATGTATTTCTAAAAAAAAAGCTCTGATTGTATTACACAACAAAAAGATTATTAATTAAAATAAATAACAAATCTCCAAAGATTCCTTAACTTTCACTCAAATTTCACTTTAAGTTGAATATTTATTTCTATCAAGCGTATAAATCAAATATCGCAGGGCAAAACGAACAAAGATATCGTAAAACTTTTGGATGTAGAACTCGTCAACTTCTAAATGACTTCTGAACACCTCGATCCACGAACGAGACTCTCTTTTTCCGTGCTTGTTATCACTTAAGTTGATAACAACTGTACAACCATATTCAAAAATCTAAAAATTTTTTTAACATCTTTCCGTAAAACCATTACTATATTTACTTTTTTTACAAAATCAAAAATAACAATGTAAACGTTTCATAAAAGTTTTATAAAAGAAATAGAAATAAAAAGAAGAAATAAGAAAAGAAATACAATATGAGAAATAAATTAACAAAACAAAACAAAATTTTTATTTATTAAAAAATTATTTAGAAAACATTAAAACCAAAAGTTTCAAGAAAGTAATACATAGAAAGATAATGAACTGATCTAGAACAATATTATAAGACAATTTTATATAACATAATTAGAAATGAGTTTAGAATATATTTAAAAAATGATGCAAAACAAAAAGAATTTCAAAAATAAAATAATACAAGAAATTATTTTATGACCTTTAGAGCAAAGTGAGTTTTTAAAAGTAAAATAATATAAGAAACTATGTTATAATCTTCAAAGCGAAATGAATTTTTAAAAGTGAAATAGTACAATTATTTTACAATGATTATAAAATAAGCTTACGGTATTATCAATATAAACATAAACAATAACATCTAATCATAAATTAACATAATTTGCTCAATTTTTTTTCAGAGAGTGTACTATTCTATTAAGATAATTGTCTCTATTCAGATTAAAATAACTGTTGTCTGATATGGTATAAAGTTGAGCTAGTTTATTGGTGACCAATACTCCACTCGACAGTTTTGGAATTGTAATTTGTTTATACTATTACAATTACAACTTTCTAATTTATCGAAAGGTAAGAAACTTTTTACTTATTCATTAAAAAAGTTACATATTTATTATATTAGTTACATATTAGTAGAATAATGATACTTTAGAAGAGTTTTAGTATTTTACAAATTTTAATAATGATCATTTAGTGAATCCTATACGTTGGTGAACATTATAGGTTATTTAAAACTATACTGAAAACTTTACTGAAAACAAATCATTCAAATGATCATGAAACTTTACTTAATGGTTCAAGATTATGTAATCAGTTTAAAAATGACTTAGAAACTCACCGTGACGTAGTATAAAATTTTTGGTTTCCAGTAAGGAAACCACAATGATCACCAAAACAACACACTGTATAAATTCTGCAAACATAAAAGAAACCGTACAATTATTTTAACAAAGTTGTTTTAATTTCTTTTGTTACAACGTACACTACAAATACACTACAAAAATCTAGATTAATATTTTCAAAATTCACTTATTATAATTTTCTCATATAATTGAAAAGAAATGGGAAATATTTTGGACAACATAAAAGGAAACAATAAAACAAAAAGATATATAAATTACTTATGAGATGTTTATCAATTTGATAATCATATAATACACTTTTATACTCTACATGATTAATTTTATCTTTTGATTTATCAAAATATATAAATAAATTCAGATAATTTAAATTCAATATTTAAATTATGTCAAATGATATTAACATGATCATAACTATCTTTTTTTTACATAAAATTAAAAGAAAATAGCATTATGAGATGTAAGACCAAAGATTACAAAGAAAATTAATAAAAAAATTTCAAACATATTTTGAGTTTTCAAATTATGATTTTTTTTCTTTGATATTGCAGAATCTGATTACGATAGTAGATATTTAATACAAATGCATTATTGTACATTAAATAAATATTATATAATTAATAATCCAAATAATTTATACATACTTCTAAATTAAAATTTCATACAGTATTATTTATTAGTTTTATCATATAATTTTTTTAATTTCTATGTCCTTGATACCTATAATTTTTTTAATTTTTATATTTCACTTATATTTGAAAACAATGTATTTTGAAACTAAGTTATTAAAATGAATATTTAAATTGCTTAACACATAAATTTTAAAACATAAAATAAACATTCTATTTAATGTCATTTATTTCACTTTATACAATTTAAGATTAAAAAATTCAGATTATATTGCTCCTATATTAAATAAGATCTAAAAGGTATATTTTAAAGGTTAACCTAACGAAGGTTATAGTTATCTTTTGTTCGTCGGACATACGTTCAAATAAGAGAATCAGAATATTTCCTTGTTGTGACAAACTATCGGAAATCATAACAAAAATTTCAAATGATCAACAAGCAATTTGTTGTACTCGTTACTCAGGAAAACGAAATTCGAGGACAATGTATCGATTGAGTCGTCCGCAGTAACCTTTCAAAACGAGGTTAAAAACAACGATTGCAATTTCTTCAATTGAGATCTATTGTCGTGTGTATTAATCTTATCCCGGTTGAATTTCAATGAATGAATGATTAAGAAATGAGAATGATACACTAAAAATACACGAGAACATAACGAAAAACAAAGGAGATTTGACTCACCTGTCGTTTTGACATTTTTTACTAACGTCACATAATTGTCAATTGCCCGAAATTACAGTACTTCTTGTGAAAACTCTCACATTTATCGCGATTAAACGAGGAAGAAATTAAACAAAGAAGATTATTTCGCGAACAAAATTCGAGCGTTCATAGCGGCCCGAAACTGTTCGAAGCTATGAAGACAATCATACAATGGGGGGTAAAATTTAGTTTAGGATAGGACGGGACTCGGAAGAACTACCTGTAATCACGGAAATATTCACTACATTGTCCCATAATGAAAATTCAATCCCCACTCTTTGGAAATATAAAATATAAATGTGAAGGATATGATATACTTTACGCTATAATATAGAATTTAGATTAGAATATTCTTATATAACTTAAAAAAAATTTGTTTATTCATTTATTAACTTTATTTCTTGCAATCCATTGGTTTTAAACATAATGAATTTTAATTATACATAAAATACTGAATTTTAATTATACATAAAATACATTGTATTTTTGTCAATTGTTGTATTTTCTAGATAATTAAAAAAAATATTTGTAAATTTTACGAACGTATCGTGACATTATAAGCATGAAATGTTATTTATTATACGTTCGGTACTAACAGTCTCATTTTTGTCATAAATTTTTTCATCGTATGTGTTTCAAGTATTATAGTGAATACGACATTTCGTAAATTTCAAACCTTTTGCTGTGTTTGTGTAATGTGATCTACGAACTAATGAGAAATCTATATTTAATCAGAATTATGATTTAAACAATCGAAAATAGCATTGATGCGAATATATTATGTATTTTCAAAGCTTCTGCTGTAAAATATTCAATTAAACATGAAAATCACTAGACGTCAATCTAACATCTTAAACCTGATTGAGAATTTTATAAAATATTAGTTTTCTTTTTTTTAATTTTTCAGTGTTGAAAAACATTAAAGTCACTAATAATATTTGCATCAAGTACTAACACAAATTTTTTGAAAATTATGTTTTTGTTAATTGAAAAGCACACATTTTTCGATGTTACTTTCTGGAAAGAAAAGAAAGAAACGAGAGGATTGTGAAAATCTCTAGGTACATTTCTGGTAACTTAATGAGATTGAACGTTTTTCGGATCGAAGGTTTTTTTTTTAAGATTAAACGTACAAATTATATTGAACAGTGGTCGTTTTTTAAACATTCATTTGATCGGAATGAAAGTGGTAGAAAAATGTCAAGGTATTTGTAAAAAGTACTATAACACGAAATATGTGTTTCGTTTATTTCTTAATGTTGGCAGGCCGCCTATCGATTCTCCCCACGTACACACCTCCTCTTCAGTCATCGATTGCACTTTTTGCACCTGCCATTTTTTTTCCAGAGTAATGAGAGCCTCATCTCGAATCAGTAGCACGAGGGTGCAGTAAAACAGGCCTGACCTGCGAGACCACCCTCACCCTCTTCGTCTCAATGAATCTTTCATATTCAATACCATTCGAAAATTTCTGAAGTGTCTCCTGCAAGTAAGAAAGAAAAAGACAAAGAGAGGTACACTTGAGGAGCCAAAGTGTGCAACGAGGAAGGAACAACGCCGCCATCAGTAAGAAAGAAAAGGAGGGAAAAAGACAGACGTAGAAGAAGGTGAAAGTAAGAGAGAGAGACGGACAGAGGGTGGGTGGTGGGGGGCTCTCGGTTTTAAGAGAGAGAGGGAGAGAGAGGAGGTCGAAGGGAGTCGAGCGAGGAGAATGACGGATAGCCAGCAGCAGTTTTGCTTGCGTTGGAACAACTTTCAAGCTAATATCACCAGCCAATTCGAGGCCCTCAGGGATGACGAGGACTTCGTCGATGTCACCTTAGCCTGCGACGGTAGGCGTCTCCAGGCGCACAAGGTTGTCCTCTCCGCGTGCAGCCCTTACTTCAAGGAGTTGTTCAAGGTTAGAAAACCTTACCCGCCTTGCTTCTCTCAGTGCTAATTCCTCGATGTTCCCACACACCACCCCTCTACCCCTCCGTCTTCTCTCCCTCCCTTCCTCCCTTCCTTCCCCTTTAGCTCATCATTCTTACCTTCTTTGAGACTCATGCTTTGCTTTAAACATGGTTGAAATTGAAGTTCTTATTCATAATTCTCGTGTATCATGTCGTGACACTGTGTCGTAATGGCCCGTATATATTTTTGTATGTAGTTTTGCGCTATAAGAATGTTACTTCTTGGTGATCATTGTACTTCTCAGTACACAATGATCATTTCGATCGACCTCAGCGTTATTAATTTTGATACATATCCTGTATAAATTTAGTATATTATTTACATAATCGTTGACAATTATGATAAAAAGAAAATAAAAGTTCGGTTAAATTTAATAAAATTATACACTACCGCTCACTGGTAGTGTATAATTTGCATTTCAATGTTTCTAATGTTAATGCCAGTTTTAACGCTAGTACTAATAAATTTATTATCAAGTAAAACAAAACTTTAAAACAAAACTTTAAATTTATTATCAAGTAAAACAACATTATTTATTTTCAGTTTTAAGTTTGTATCCTACGTCAAAATTAAAATTTGTATTTTGTTCTACATTTATATATATTTTTTTTATAGTTTGGCATACGTTGAATCTACTTATGTAATTTTGTATGAAGCAAATTCTGTAATATTCTGTATGCTTTAGTAATTAATCATATAATCTTGTTACTTTTGAATACTTAAATATATTAAACATTTACATTTATTACTTCTAAAATGTCAACCTACTAAAAAGAGAATGATAATATTATTTATGTTTGTATATAAGTGTTGATTTTGATACTTCATGCAAAATAAAGAGAAATTTGTGAATTTAAATATATTATCATTAAATATAATTTTGAAACCTTTTAAAGACACAAACCTTTTAAAGACATGTTCAATTTAACAAAATTATTATATTAAATAAGATTGAAATGAATAACTTTCTGTGATTTTTATATGAAGATGTATAATCATGAGCTCATGCTTCAGCTTTTATTTTTTTTAAATATTGTAGATAATAAATCTATATTATAAATCAGATATAATAGTGTCTATAGATTAAAGTCAGATTAAAAATTATAAAGAATATAATGGTATAAATACTAATAGAAAACAAGAACAACAGTTTTTATCAATGATACATTGCGTTTCATTCTTTGTATTATTATATTTTTTAGATCTTTTGTATCTTTATACTTTTATTATACATTAAATGTACAAATATATTCAAAATTTCATTTTTTGTTATTTGTATATCAACATATTTTAGAGTTGGCCATAAAGTAAAATACGATGAATGTAAAATAAAATAGAGGAAAAAATTGAATTTCAAAATATAATAATATTATGTTATTATAACTATAATAATTCTAAGTAATGATATTATATGGAAAATTACATCTTTTAATATAATTAAAAAAATAAAAAGCTTAATAATCATTTTATTGATAAAATTGGTATTTGCTCTTTTAGTTTTTATAAATGCTGCTTGTCTATATTATAATTGATTGTCTATATTATAATTTCATTATCAAAGCATATAATTGTTATTTGACATATTTGCTTAAGAAATATATTTCTAATTTGTATTTATTATCTGTAATTGCTATTGGTTTTTTACGTAATAATTTTGGTATAGAACTAAATATAAAAATAAAAAGTTATATCTGCAAATATGTATTAAATAAATATATAATGTGTTCTTATAGACAAACCCATGCAAACATCCAATAATATTCATGCGTGATGTGGAATTTGAACATCTGCAGTCACTTTTGGAGTTCATGTATGCTGGAGAGGTTAACATATCTCAAGCAGAATTGCCTACATTTCTAAGAACTGCTGAGTCTTTACAAATCCGTGGCCTCACTGACTCTCAAAATAATCAGCACAACAACGAAAAGGTTTGTTTTCAAAAATTTATGAATGATACATATTGTTTATATTATCTTTAATATAACTAATTTAAAATCTTTGAATTAGTATCAGTGCTGGTTGAATAATCTATCGATATTTTAGTATTAATTGAAAATATAGTAAAAATGTACATTAGAATAGTTATATGAAATGAATATACATTGATGTAAAATATGAATGGGAGGATATCGATAAAAATATCTCTGTACTAATAGTATTGCTGATATTAAAATAATCATTTATTTCTTTAAAAATACTTATGTAATTTCAACTTGTCTTTTCTAGCATTTGAAGACAAACAACATACACGCATCAAATGGCCGTGGGCTGATCTCACCAAATTTGGAGGAGGATCGTAGTAAAACTCCACCAACCTCGAGTCCTCCACCACTAAAAAGGCTGTGCAAACGAAGTGATTCGCCTCAAATATCTAGTCCAGTACCAGCTGCGGCGGCCTGTGCAACTGGAACGCCACGCACACGGCCATTAATTGAGCCACAGGTTCAACTTGACTGTTATAAAGATCTCGATATTGTTGAGGTTAGTTTAATTTTTATTAATTTCATATTCACTATTTAAAGGTATACTTTTTAATACGTATGAACATACAATGAATATAGAGAATTATAAATATATTGAATTTATTATTAATGGAAATTAATTATTAATAGAATAATTTTTGTCTCTTGGAAATAATAATAATAATAATTTTTATTTTAGCCAAAAATAGAATTACCAGAATATGGAAGCGATGATGATTGTTCTCCAAAACAGGAGGTCAACACACTGCCAAGTGGTTTTCTTAGCCTTGATGGTGGCATGGAAGTTTTGCCATCTTATCCACCTTCCTATCAAGGTAGTTATGATACGCATCGATCAATGTATTATTATTTAATTTATTTATTTGAAACTTACATTTTTACAATTCTATATCGATTGTAGAAAAAATTTTTTGTATTTCTAAATTAATTTACATTTTGTAGGTGGAGGAGCAGGAGGAGGAGGAGGTGGAGGAGGGGGTGGAGGATCGTTAGAAGGTGGGATGCCAGGACCATCTCATGCTAGTAATACGGAATTAAATCAAGAGCAACAAGGTAAGTGATTGTCCGTCCCAACCCTAATTTTTTGGTAGTTGCGAGCACCATTACAAACAGCAACAACCTAGCCGATCATGTCGGACAGAATTTTTTGGATGCGAATATAAAGATGGAAGGAGAAGGAGAGCCTCGGTTTGAAATGGTAAGCTCGTGTAGCTCGGTAGCTCTTGCTAGGCGGTAGGAGAGAAAGGAAAAGAAAGAGAAGAAAGGAATGTATGTGTGTGTGTGTACGAAAGTGAGAAACAAATATCAAGAGAGAAAGAGTGTAAGAAAGACAGAGTTAAGAATGTGTAGATGAGTGCGAAAGAGAGAAAGGAAAAGAAGAGACATTTGACACTCGGAGGCGATTTTCTGATTTTATCCAGGGGAGTGCAGTTTGCGGCAGTTGTGTGAGAAAGTCAGCTGCGTGTACACATATACTCGGGCTCTCTACCTGTTTATATTATTTGCCAGAATTGGAGGTGATACTAAAAGACTAAAAATAAATTTTGCATAGATTAATTTTTACAAAAGGAGAACTCTACACTTGCGTTATTTTTTATGTTAGATATGAATTATAATTTATTTTTTATATTAAGTTTTTTTTTAATTAAAAGTTATTTTAGGTTTATTTAAAATTGTAAATATAATTTTTAGAAATTGAAGCAATGAAAATTGAGAAATTGGGGAAAGAAAGAATAATTTTAAATGGTTAGATGTAAAAAAACAAATCCCTCCGTCTGGTAAAATTGCCTGTCCGTTGCTTCTATGTTTTCCATTATTGTCTTTTCGAAGCTACGCCAATTGGAAATTTTGAATAATTTTATTATTTTTATTCGTACAATTCTTTAAAATTATAATAATTTGGAGTACATCATCCAATAAAATATTAATATTAAAATGAAACATTGATAAAATTTTATTTGTTTTAATTGACAATTATTTTGTATTATAAATTTTTACTATTGTATAATTTGTATGATTTCATCTAATTGGCGTTGTTTTTCTGTGTACTCATATATATCCTATGGCAGAACACCCTAACTGGAATATATAGCAGAATTATTGCTTGATGCTAAATTTTGTTATAAGCTTCTTGGTTATGGTCAGTGTTTAATTACGGTGTTGTAATTAAAAAAAAAAAATAATTAATATCTTCGGCTTCACTAATCAAATTATGTAATAATTCAATAATACAAGATTTATAATATAATCAGTAATTATTTCTCAAAATTTAATTACTATTAACTTTGAAATTTTGATATAAATTCTTAGCATTATATTTTAATACATTATAGTATATTATATGTTATTTTTGTTATTTTTTATTTTAATTATAATTCTTATTTGGAGACAAATTCAAATGATAAAATTTTATTTATATTTATTATTCTAAAGTTAGATTAAAATTATTTGTAATGTGAAATACAGAACAAATAACACACAATATAAAATGTTCTTATTTGTTATTATTACTTTTAACAATGATACAATAATTATATAAGATTTTATATCATTAAGACTTATATGTGTCAAGCGCAATTTTTCAAACGTAAAAGGGTGTTATTGTCAAGAAACAATTGTATAATAATCTCGGAGGATGCAGCGCGAACTCTCACGCCTCATGTCCCAATAACACACGCTTACCATTTGTCTCCGATGTGTGCGCGTTAACAAACGCGCGATATCGTTGTACGCACGACAGGTAGTAATAGGATCAACCAATATTGTTTATTAATTATATGCATTATTAAATTTAGAAAATATTTTGATTACTTAACAAAGTATTACTTCAAGTTAAACTTGTAGAGAACTAGATAAAAATTTCTATCAAAAATTAGAATTTAAAATCAAACTTCAAATTTATTTACACAATAAAAGTAGTAGTTTGCGATTCAACTATATCAATATTTTTACAGTTAAAATAAAATAAATGTATAGTTGTAATTGACGTGTTATGAATATACTGTTTTCATTTTTTTAAAAAGAGTAATGCAGTAATTTTGAGTAAATGAATAAATATAATATATGTAATTAAAATAAGAGGAATTATGCAAAGAATAATGTAATTTGTATTTAAAATTCTAAGAGTGATCCTATTACTAAATTAGGTAGAATATATAATAGTCGTGTGGCTAGGGTTTGTTAGCTGGTTGTTGCTGTCCGGTGGTGGCTGGCAAATCGGAGACCCCACCCATAAATCCATTCAATAAAACAAAACAAAAAAAATTAACTCCCTTCTCCGTGCTGCCTCTACCGGGTTAGAGCAAGTTGTGTGTGTGTTGCAGCTGACCTACGCAAACTGCACTCGCTGGACCCACGCCCCTGTCCTGTCTGCAACCGCATGTACAGTAACTTGTCGAACCTACGTCAGCACATGCGTCTGATCCACAACCCTCAGAGTGTCACATGCCCCCTCTGTAACAAGCCATTCAAGACCAAGCTCTACCTGAAACGCCACCTGGTCAGCTTCCATGAGCTCAGCGTGGCAGACAGGCATCGTCAGGAAGAAATCTACCAACAGCAACAGCCTAAAGCTCAACAACAGACTGGAGCGCAAACTCATCTACAAATCCAGGCACAACAAACAGATACAGTTAAATCCTTTTCTGCGCCCAGAGTTTCTATGGAAGAGGGTACAGCTACGGTAACTCTGGAGAACAAATCAAGAGTATTCCAAGATGGTGCTTATGAGGTCAATCAGACCAATGCTGAATCGAAGCACTTTCAAAGCAGCATGATGCAGTTTGATACTGCATACCACTAATGCGCCTTAGTTTCTTCGGCCCATTTGTGATAGCTTTTTGGTTGAGTAGGTTTAATACCAGTAATTTCTGGTAACTACAATATAATATAGTCTTTTGAAGAAAGGTGCAGTGAAGAGATTAAGAGTTTGTGTTGTGATGGAGAGTACTAAAGATTTATAGAATTATTAATTGATCATTTTTTATAAAATTACTTATCAACTATTGTTTTTATATCAAGTGCTTAAGTTTATAAGCCGTACTTTTGTTATTATTATTATTATTTTTTTTTTTTGAAACAAAATTTCAAGATTTTTAGTTTATTTGCAGTAAGTGATAGAATAGTAACAACATAGAAGTCTTTAGAGTACAAACAAAGAATTTAAGGAATTTGAATGAATGAAATGAAAGATAAAATATTTATCATCAAAAAATGATGAAGTTTTTAAAATTTTATTATATCTTCGTTACTTATTGTTACATAATTTCTTTTCTTGCCAGTTCTTTAGCATTTTACATTTCACTAATCTTTTTTAGTAAATTACATTTTATTAAAACTAAATTCAGAATTTATAAATGTGTATATGTATACATATACATTTATAAATATTTCTATATATATATGTATATATATAACATAATTTTCACTTAAAATTCATCTTATGATTTTCAATTTAACTTTCATTGCAAAATAATGTTTTTAATGTTAAGAACGAGCGAGATGAATTATTTACAAACCGTTTATAAATCATTCGTTGAAATTCAGAAGTTTTGCTCTAAAGATTTTTGAACGAAATGACTGAAATTACTTTTGTACTATGCTATCCACACAGCACTCTGCTCAATAGAATAATCTTTTCACAGTGTCTTACAATAACTAATGAAACAATAGTCCTTGAAGGACAACTCGCAAAAGGTGCCGTGCCTATTCGTCGTAAGGAGAAGCGAGAAAATATTCCTTAAACAAAAGAAGAAACAAGAAAGAAATCACAAATAACCGCCGCAAGTGGAACAGCCATCCCACCTCGTACTGATTATTCCGCGAGCCAGGATAACTTGTTGTTTTATTTGATGCTATACAGTGTTATACAGACTACAGATATTTACAACGATATTATATTCTTACAGAGGATTATATTTACTTTATTGATTGCGTCACACGACTGGGTGACACGCACAGAAACTCCCAGGATGACGTACGAACATATTATAATATATTTTTCACCGCGTAGCAGTTTAACGGTGCAATAGACAGCCAACCGATTTTACAGCTCAAGCAGATTTACAGAGGATTTATTATTGACAGTTATCGATGGGAAACCACCGTGATGCAGCAGATTGAATTTAATATATTATAAGAGGCCCGTGTCCGAGATGGCTTTTCTTGTGAATTTTTTTACATGCTCTAATGTGATATTACAGAGCCGAATTTATTAATTCTCATCAAATTTTTAACAAATTACGTTCAATCTAATTTTGTTTTCGATTTCTTTCTGATACCAGACAAAATTACTTTTTCAAATTGTAAAACATTCCAGTTTTGTTTTTCATTTTTGCTACTATTGTTCTGGTTCAACATTGAGTTGATACGTTTAACGTCATTAATTCTTGAGATATTAGATCTTTTTCTGGATAAAATCATAAGCAGTATTACTTTTATTATTCCATTTTTATTTCGTTGATAGAGATACATTTAAAACATTAAGATATTGATATTACAAATGAACTATATTCTTATAAACCATACGTACATGTATTAATTTAGAAATAGCGTTATAGTTTCTTTCATAGAGTATTATTTTATAGAACGAGTTGCTTTACTGATATTTATCTAATAATGTCAATTATAATATATTTTACAGTTTTTAATCAAACTTTTGAAAGCAATTTTGAACTTTTTTCCTCTTTTACTGATGCTTTAGTATTTTTAAGATATTTGAGTAAATGTCTACTAAATAAGTTTTGGAAATGCTTTTGTACAAATTCAGTACTAACATGTTAGGTTGCTGATTAACATAAGTAGCATGCGCGATAAATAAGTCTGCTTTAAGTTACATTAATCTAAATGTATCGAATTTGTTTGTCAGTATCTTATAATGTGTACATGTCTACAAATGTATACAGAATACGAGGTATTTTATATTTTTATATTTCGGAATTGTCAGCTTTCATAGAACTTTTCAAGTATTTCATATCTCCATTTATTTAAAGAGAAAAGAGAAACGAAAAAGCCATTTCAGATACCGCCGAACTCCATAGCCATAGTACCACACAGTACAACTCAGGATCTTTTATATTATATTTTACAGATGACAATAGTTCCGTGAGCGCGATGTCCTCGACAAATTTTTCACTATACACTTTACGTCAGAGTCTGAAATTTTCAACAATTCAATATCTATTCAAATCGTTATTACATGAATGATAATTTTAAAAACTTTCAATCTTTTTTTTTTTTCTTCTTATGAATCATCGCATTTATTGTCACACGATTAAATCAATCGACGAATTATTTTCTTTTTTCTTTTTTCTTTTTTTTTTTTGCGACATAAATACAGCGTTTGAAATTTTCTTTTAAATCCCTCTATCTATTTCTTTTCGTTTGTTTGCCTTTTGAATAGTTGTCGGAATAATTGTAGGATTGTTGAAAATTTTACGATAGGCTCCGAGTTCGAAGAAAGTCGAAATGTTTCTCGAGTTGATCGCGCCGTTCACACAGGCTCCTTACCTCACGATTTACAATCAAATCACAGATGCAGCTATATATTATTATAATAAGTATATTTACATACCGTTTTACAATAGTGCCGGGGTCGCAACGACTGCGACGAATCAAATTTTAAAGGAAAAACAACACGCCAGACCCATTAACCACGAAAGAGATAGGAAAACGAACTAACTCCAATACTTTCGTCTCGTACGTGGACGGTTTTTCATTTTCTTATTGTTGCACTTTTTCCGAAGGTTTTTCTATTCGTTTTCTTCTTTTTTTTTTTTTAACGCGTGGAACAGAGAGCTTCGTGCCCAGCGCATAGTTTTTACTGACTCTAAGATTAGAATATAAATGTTGCATATCATGTTATTAAGATTGTTGTACAGACAGCCTGTTGCAAACCTCGGTCTACGGTTCCTCTCTTAACATTTGCGTCTTTCCATTTCATTTCTCTTTATTAAATCTTGGCAATGGAAGGAAAGATTACATTACATACAACTTTTATTGTGATTGGATCTGATCAAATTGTTCGTTCTGTTGTTTTCTTTTGTATGTTAGATCATAGCTTTCTGTGTGATGACATGATCATCTTTCTTTTTTTTTTTTTTTTTACATTTTATTGTTTGTAAGAGTTCGAAGAAAGAAACCACAGTTTCAATTTCCAGAAGATATAGCTATATGTAGTACACTTGGTTATGGATTTTAGATACATTCCATTTATTAGTATCGACATAAGTTCTTCGATTCTAAAAAGATTATTTTGCCATGAATTTTCAATATTCGATCTGTCATAAATGCATGGTGTAATAATTTGTTTGAAGTATTGTTTGTAAATATGTTTCTTGTATTATCAACTCTCTTGTTATTCTTTCTATTCGATTTGAATATTAGTTTTAGAATATTGATATATGACATACACACACACACACAAACATATATATAGATATATCAATAAATGAATATTCATTGTTACTTTACAATAGAAGGTTAGCTGCAGTGGCAGCGTTTGATTATTTATTTGTACAATAATCGATCGAATTGGCTCCCTAGACCGAGATTCATGTTCATATACATATATCATACACACACATACAGCACATAGCCAGAATCAAACAGCGAGCCGCAATGATAGAGTTACATAGAACGAGTAAAGCCAGGAAAACCCAGAATTGATGATTTGAAACAAAATGAAAACGAAACGAAGCAGACAGTTACAGGGAAATCATTTTTCTAACTCGCAATCTTTCGCTGGGCATTAAAAGTGATATAACGATCAGCCGATTAGTTGATTGATTGATTAATTGATTGATTGATTGATTGATTGATTGATTGAAACATTCCAATAGATAATGCAGTTTTTCCATTTTTCCAAACAAATGAGAGATAAACCGCCGAATAATCAACAAATTAACACCGAAAAAGCCAAAAAGTTTATTGTCTAGGAAACGTCTAAGTCCGGAGAAAGCACCTTTTCGCAGAATTTTATCCCCCTTCCCGTGTTTCTTTCGGGAAACGTTTTGTTTTAATCGGTGGGCGATTTGAAAATTGGAAAGTTGAGATGCTTGTTCGAGTTTAAGGGGTGAACGCGAGAAATCTGAAGTCGAGATGAAAAGGATACAAAAAAAAAAAAAAAAAAAAAAAAAAAAAAAAAAAAAAAAAAAAAAAAAAAAAAATCAAAAAAAAAAAAAAAAAAAAATAAATAAATAAATAAAATAAAATAAAAGAGAAAAAGATCAGAAAAATGTCGTGAAGCAGAAAAATTAGAGATATTTTTGGAACTAAAGTGTCGAGGAATTTTGGGATTCGAAGCGTTGGGAAAAATTCTCTGTAGTGAAACCATTTATAAAATTGTCCAGAAATTAGGTATTTTCAACGTTGCGATGATTTTGCGAAATTTTTGTGTACAGGTTTCGATTCGAAAGCTGTGAACTTTCTAATTTTCGATTCAACTATACTATTCTTCCTTTTTTTTTTCCTTTTTCTTTCTTTCTTTTTTTTTTTTTCTTGTCAGTCGGAGAAACAAAAGAGTATAAACGAAGATTCGACGAGTAGCTACGGATATTAACATTCCCATTTTTCATTGATCGATTCGTTTCAATTACTATTTATTTCTACCATTATTTATTCCAAGTATAATAATAATAATAATAATAATAATAATAATAATAATAATAATAATAATAATAATAATAATAACAGTACTAATATTAATAATAATACTAATACTAATACTAATAACAGTAATAATAATAATAATAATAATAATAATCCAAAATGTTTGCAAGATGCATTGAAATGAACTTTTCGATTAAACATTAAGTTTCTTTTTTTGTTGTCCTGTCCGACTCCTTTTCTTTTCAAGGAAAGTGCATTTGCTTAGTTGTTGTATATACTGTAAATGACAGCGATTTCGTGTACTCGAGAGCTAGTAATTAACCATTAGAGTTAGACTTTAGAGTTAACCAAAAGAGGAGATTGGTTTCTCGTTCGGTTTATAGATTTTTCTATTTCGAAAAAAGGGGATGGTAGCTTCCTTTAATTATTATTCGTAAGAACGAAATCTAGTCAAATTTGAGAGGTTCGACAAATTTCTACGACGTGTCAAAAAGGTGGGGGGAGGGGGGGGGGAGAAAAAGAAAAAAGAAATTATTATTTATTATCAATTAATCGTACTTACCAAGTGAATTTTATAAATTAGCTACGC